GTTGAATATAAATAAATGATATGATCAAGAAATCCTTAAATCTCATTCCATTAAAATTGCTTCATAAAATTTGGGCCTGCTGAGAGATTATTGACAAAAGGAAAAATACATTTCACTAAAGCTTCCATGGACATTTGATGGACAGCAGAATCATACCCAAAAGTCAGATACCAAATGTGGAGCCTCTCAACCTACATTTCTTACCAATAACTCACTTCTGTAACCAGTCCATACTCACACATGGATTTTGGGTGACTGGTAGCACCACTGAAAAAAACTTGTTTCTTCCCAGGATCAGTAGCAGGAAGGACGAAGGACATTGAGGTGGGAGAACTTTGTATGTGGAAGCCAGTGCAAGGGACATTCAGGGGATACTGAGCACACCCATTTGGCTGATTGGTTAATCTGTTCATTCATCTCTCTGCCTTTCCATCAAAAGGAAGTACTTGACTCTGGAATCCCAGAGAAACTGCCTCCTTTTGGGAAGGTTGGTGATGGAAATTTAGGGGTGCTTAGGAGATATTAACTAAAATTTTTGTACAGCTAAATTTGTGAACTCCCAACATGTGTTCCCTGTATGCCCATGAGAAACCATTTTGAGGTTCACTCACTCACTCCAGGCCTTTGTTAAGAAGCTAGCATTTCAAGCCCTGGGTAGACCCCACTTACCCCATTGGTCAATAGAACTATGCCAGTGACACAGTTCTTTCTCAAAGTGGTTATACCAACCTCCCACATGTGTTGGTGGGGGAGGGCCAGGTTTTGGGTGCTTTAGGATAAAGGAGGCCCTTAGAATCTACACCCTTCTGTGGCCTCATTAATGCAGAATCTCAAGTTTGTCAACACCCACCCACCCCTAACTCACCCACCTCTGTAGAGAGGGCACCTCTTCTGCTGTGCCTGAGTTTCTACCATGTGGTAGAGTGCAAAGGGGGGTGGGCCACAGTCATTGCTTAGCCCACAGTGAACAAATCTAACAACATGGGGAGAAAGACAGAATCTTCCAACTGATTTCAAAAGACTTAGAATGCTGGAAAAAGACTCATTATTCTGTCTCAGGTCCTTGCCCAGTCTTTGTAGTCTCTATCCAGGTATATGAGGATGAGCCACATCCTAACCCTTTCAGAGGGATGGGTAGGGAACTTCAATTGGCAGTCATTGATTTGTTGCTTAATATTTATGCTTGATAAACTCAGGGAAGACTGGAATCACATGGAAAGTGTAATGAGGAGAAAGTAGTGCCAACAGAGGTGTGTGCATGAGAGTAAGGGAACTGGCTGGTAAGGGGACTGCTATACAATGAATCAGAGGAAAGAGAGAGAAGCTAAAGTTCCTACTCTGGGAAAAAAATCAGAAAAAAAATGAGCACTAAGGTTTTGAAGCAGAACTTAGAGAAATTCTGGAGTAGAGGGCAATAACTTCAGAACATTTCTTTAGGGCGCTGGAGACTTTTGATGTAAAGGGAAAGGGAACTCTTAAAGGCACCAACCTGACCTTGACACTGTTGGGAAGTGATCTCAAGAGCCAGTCATTCCCTTTCCTATGTGAAGGTCATTGGATGGGGCCTGGCTGGAAGGACCAGGATACTGGCCCTTGGTGGCCTCTTGATTTTAATTTCTTTTCTCAAAGTAATAAAGTTTCCAGGGTCTCTCACAGTTGTGGGAGATTTCTTTCCCATTTCTGGCAGGAAGGCTACCAGTTTAACTTAAGAAATCTAGTGCTTCTGTTGAAGCCTCAACTAAGTCACTGATTCCAGAAAGGCAGTTTGCATCACAATATGGTGAGTGCAGCTGTAATACCATGCATAAGGAAGGGGGTACTGAATACTTAGAAACAGACGGGAACAAGGAAGTCATGCGGAAGGTTGTATCAACTTAAGGAAAATCTGCTGATTTCATAGACAGAGAAGTAAATTAAAGTGACATTTTCCCTTGACATACCTCCAAGGAAGCTTCTAAGTACGGTCATACATCTCAAAATCATAAGTCTGTTTGCCAGGGATGGCTTCCAAAACTGAATGATCAAGGCTGGATGGAATATTGTGTTAAGAAGGATTCTGAAGCAGCGTCTGAGTCCAAAAAGAAACAGCACCTTATTTGATACAGTGATGCATTCCAGAGCAATAGAAGTGAAATGTGGTGGTATGCATCCCAGGTGTTCAATGTCTTCAAGGACTCAAGCATCCATTCTTGGGGATTTATCTCAGAAAATAATTTCAATGGAAAAAACAAGTACTGTATACACAAAGGTGTTCTCCTTGTTCTTATCTAATATAGCAATAATTTGTTCTGTAGAGGGAGAATGGTCATTTGTCAGAATTAAATTGCCGACCATGAGGATCATATAGAAACACGGGAAAATGTAGGACATAATGTTGAGTAAAAAGAAAACAGTTGGGTTTTCCTCCCTGGATGCCTGAAGACCCCCCGCTGTCATGAATGACTGTGTGAACCAGAAAGTTCATGACTCACTGACTGCTTCAGCAGAAACGAATGGTCGTCAACATGCTTCATCCTGGGAAGGCTACTGTAGTACCTGAGACAGAAAATCACAAAAAAACTAGCTGAAGTATACAAGATCCCCCCTCTCTCCCCTGTTATCTTTGTATTTGGATTCAGAACCCAATTTGGAGGGTGCAAGGCAACTGTCTTTGGCATGGCTTGTAAGTCCTTGGATTAACCAAAGAAAGCTGAACCCAAACACACTTTTTTTTTTAAAGATTTACCCATCCATGCCTCCAAGAACTGGGGTGCAAGCCAGAGGTGCAGGGGGATGAGAGGACTCACCAGAGACAGGGCGGGGAACAGAACAGGTGGATCTACTGAAATACACTGCTGAGGGGAGCAGCGGAAGAGACAGGAGAGGTCTGCTGTGCCATTTTGGTTGACAGAGCTGTCTTTAACCCCTGCACCACCAGGGAGGCCCTGAACCCAAACAGAACTGCAAGGCTTGGCCTGTATGAGAAGAAAAGACCTTGGGCAGACAGTAAGGAGCGCAAGACCTTGGGAAAACAGAAAGGAGCACAAGAACAAAATGAAGGAAGTTGGGGGACTGCAGAAGCCAGAGTAAAGATTTTGTAGTGACTTTATCTGTGGTAATTGTACAGATGTTTTATAAGAGGATTAATAAATTAAAACCTTTTATGTGAAAACAGAGAATATTTTATACACATAATGATTGCAACTAGGTTTGAAAAGAAGACACTCCTGTGTTTTGTGCATGGAAGTGCCATTTCTTTCTTGTTCACTGGTATATGGAGCCCAGTTCCTGTTATACAGTAGGTTTACAATAAATGCTAGTTACCTCTTCTACTGATAGATTTCCATATTTGTACAATAAAAAATAGCTCTCCAAAGAAGTAATACAAGTTAAAAAAAAATCCAGCTGTTTTGTTTCCCCCCCTTGGAAACAGCAGCTTGTTTTGCCTTTTCTAGTCCACTTGCATCAGTCTTACACTCTTTCTAGGACTCCACTGAGCAACTCCAAAGACCCAATCTTCTATTAAATTCCTACAGATATGTCACTTCTGACAAAGACTTTTCTGTTTTCCCTTTGCTTCAAAATGTTCAGGCTTGGGCTTCAGGAACTCTGAAGCACCCTTGTTTATTATCCTTCTGAAGTTGTTGATTTGCCCCAAAGCAAGTTTTTCTTATTTTATGTCTCCAAATAGCTAACTAACTATGAGAATGACTTAATCAGCATCTTTATGGCCAGTTGTAAGGTTTTTATGGAATTCAAATTCAGATCTGAAATCTGTGTATATGGCTATTGGAATGATTGACAGATTGGGGTCAGGTGTCAAACAGACCTCCAGTATTGACAAAACCTCTCCTCCATGTAATGACCTGTAAACATATGGCAAGTGATTAATTATTGTGTAACTTCACTAACTTCAGAAACTCTCCTAATGTTCCCTAATTCCATCAAACAATAATTATTCTTTCTCTCTGAACCACACAAAACACTCATAACCCTCAACTAGGAAATTAAAGTTTATTTTCAATTTCCTTGGGCAAGGCAAAGGCAAGGGTAAATTAACAGTCTGTAGCTTGTCTGGAACTAGAAAAGCATTGCAAATCTGGTGGGGAGTTACAGTGTAGGAAAATCGTCCAAAGACAATGCAATATTTAGCTGATGGCAATCTCAGAAGATATACTTGGAGGACAGAAGCTGTTGGATGAGCAGGCATTATCTCTGGAAGCAAAGCTAAAGTGGAGGGGGAGGCAGTTATTGCAATGATTTAGACCAAGAAAAAAGCCATAGTTTATCTGTCTCTACCAATCTAATATACTAGACAACACAGTGTCAATCCATTTGACTGGGTTCAAAATTGTCAATTCACTGTCACACAAACTCACTTATTATAAAGGAATAGTTTTCTCTCTTTACTTCTCACCTGAATATCTCCTGTTCCTAGCCTTTTCTTTTTGATAACATCATTTTTTATTACAACAATAATTCTTGTATGCATCTATTCAACAGATTTTATTGATTTTCTACCATGAGCAGACACTATGTGAGCATAAGGGATAGAGCATGGGCTATAAAAATTGTTCAGGGAGACAGGTAAATTCAGAGAGAATTACAATTTGGTGTTATGATACAAGGATGTATTAGGTGATCTTTTAGCCCAAAGGGGGGCCCTTAACGCAGGTTGTGGAGGGCTTTCTGGAGGAGGTAACAGTTCTGAAGTTAAATGGTTTCAGTGGTAGAGAAAGGATCCTATATCACCTGTAATCCTTCTTTAGCATTTATGTAGGTTTTTTCCTCAGTAACTTTTTTCTATACACAAACAGATAGATACAGACAAGTAGAGAGGTAGGTAATAATGGTTATATACATAGATTTGTAAAACTGTGATCATAATATCTATATATCTTTCAATGATGTCTTATGCATGTCTTTATATATGTATTGAAAACTGGAGTCTTGATTGAAACTAGTATTATATTGAAGCAACATTTCTTAATGTATTTGATGCTTCTCTTTGTGTCTTTCAGAGTTTTTTTTGGCAAGTCACAAAAACTAAACCTGGCTAGTTCAATGGAAGAGGACTTTACTGGAATAATAATAGGTACTTCTCGACTCCATGGGAGGACTGCAAAAACAGGCGAGAAAGGGCAGGATCAGATGTGCTCAGGGGTGGGAAACCTATTTAGTGCCAGTCATAGAAACAATTCATTTTTGGCCTTCTGCTTTTGACTTAGATTTAATATTCTGAGAAGGAGCATCTAGCTGGCCAAGCCTAGAAAATGTGTCCCTCCCTACCCACAACAGGACAGACTTTTTTTTTTTCAAAGATTTATTTATTTATTTATACAAGCACTGGGTACAGTCAGAAGGGCAGGAGGGTGAGAGAATTCACCAGAGCCAGAGCGGGGAACAGAACAGGCAGACTGACGAAATATACTGCTGAGGGGAGCGGCGGGCATGGCAGGAGAGGTCTGAGTGCCATGCAAGACCCTCACCGGCGGCCGGGGATCGAACTGGTGCTGCAGAGGCTGCGGGCAGCTTTGCAGCCCAGCGCTCAACCACTGCACCACCAGGGGAGGCCCAACAGGACAGACTTTTGCAGTGAGAAGTGGGGCCTTGATTCCCATTGAGACTCTCCCAAGAGGACCTTCTCCCAAGCAGGAAGAGCATTGGGGTATTCCTAGGAGAAAGCACCCAGGAATATCTATTCCTCTAATTGTTAGAAGTTTAGATGACTTCTTTTATATTATGAAATGATTGGACATTCTTCTGCCAAATCTTTTGAGCATTTCTCTGATAATCTGAATATAAATGCCTGAGAAATGAAATTTCTGGATTAAAAAATGTGAACATTTTAAATTCTCTTCATACATACTGCCAAGTGGCATTTCAAAAGTTACATCAGTTGAAGCTTCCTCTTGGAGGTTGTTTTGGTCATGACCCATGTTGGACATCACCATTTTTGGAAATCTTACGTCCACTCCTGTGTAACCTGTGCCACTCATGTAAATTATACTTCTTTGAAGTCAAAGCACCTAGTGGCAGAGCAAACAATTGGGAAATAAGTTGTTTATTTTCCTATTTGTGATAATTACCTTTATTGATTTTCTTCCACATTAATTAGATTAATTCTGGGACTGCTTCTTTTAACATGCAGTGGAGAAGCCAATTGGTTCCCCCCCCCCCTTGAAAAAATACTCTCCTTGAAAGGGAGTATTAACAAAGCAGCATGACCAGCTGAAATAATAGAGGCTTTGAATTCTGGAAGTGAGGGTCTGCGCAGAGGTCTCTAATCAGATCTTGTCGGACTGTCTTGCATAGTCCTTCTGAAGGCAGGGACAGAGCACATCTGCAGAAGTGGGTCCTTTCAATAAAACATAGCAGAGAAACAAGTCCAGCAGTCCCAGATTGTGATGAACACGATATCCAGAGAGATGACCAAATATTTCATGACTTTTCAATTTACTTAGAAGAACATCTTTTTAGTAAGAAGCTGGGGCCTCCGTGGTGGTGCAGGCAGTTGAGCGCTGCACTATGAAGCTGTCCGCAGCCTCTGTAGCATGGGTTTGATCCTGGCCGGCAGGCGAGAATCCCACATGGCACAGAAGACCTTTCTTGTCTCGCCTGCTGCTCTCCTCAGCAGTGTATTTCGTCAGTCTGCCTGTATTTCGTCAGTCTGCCTGTATTTCGTCTGTTCTGTTCCCCACTCTGTCTCTGGTGAATCCTCTCACCCTCCCACACATCTGGCCTGTTCCCCAGTTCTTGTATAAATAAATCTTAAAAAAAAAAAGAGAAGAAGCTGAAAGGCATGAAGAATGTTAGGTTAGTTCTAGGCTTCCATCAGGAGGGTTCAAGTGGGAGCCAGGAAGGAGCTTTTGATGAGAAATCTGGCTCAGAATGCTGGTCTTGCTTTGCCATTAACTAGGTGTGTGGCCTTGGAGAAGGCTCTTCACCTGTCTGGATTTCAACAGGGCCTGGGCCACATGATCTTTAAGGGAACTTCTTTTTCTGATAATTAAGGTTTCTAGGATCCCTAACTTTGGATTTTTTAACAGTGTCCTGACTTCCAGTGTAGTAGTGATCAAATCACTTTTCGCTTTGCTGTCAGCTGAGAAATAATCTATTGATTGAAGATATACCTTATCCTCTTGGCCTAGTGATCAGAAGTCTCTGTGGTAAAAGCAAGACCTCAGCAAAAGGCAGGCAGAAGGCAAGCTGAATTCTTCAAAAAGAAAGCCACTCCCTTCCATTTGCATAATTTGATTCTAATGTTCTGCCCTTGTCAAGTTCTCTCCTACTTGTAGACATTTATGCAATGGGTTATAACCATATTATTTTATTGCTGGTCATTAACCCTGTACGAGACACCTTGTTAATAGGCTTATTAGGTATTCTATTCATGAGGACTAGAAATGAATTTGATTCTGGATCACTTGCACTTGCACCTGTCTCTGCTTGGCAGGTGGCCAGGTGGGTACCAAGACCTGATTGCTTGCTTCCTCTTGTGGCCACCTGGCTTCATGTCCAGGTGCATTCCTGGGATGGTGGGCACTGCCAACCTCTCTGGTTGTGAAGGAATATCAAGCTCATTGAAAAGTTTATAAGCACAGAATCATTTTCAGTTCTCTGAGTAAATATCTGGCAAGGCTCAGATTGGAACAGATCCAATTCTATGGATAAAATGCCCCCAAACACATTTTCCCCTGAGAAAGGCTGAAAATATATGCACATTTATATGTGTCTAATTTGAACAAATCTCATTAATGTGAATGATGTAGAAAAATGTACAGTGACGGAGTGGTTCGTATTCTCATGCTAGTCTGGGAGAGAATTCATCATGGCCTGGCAGGAGGTTAGCATTTGCTGAGGCTCTTTCTACATGAGGTGTTTACAATAACAAGGTCCCAGGCCAGGGATGCAAATACTTGGCGCCTGTGCCTTACCGCCCCTCCCACATCCTGAGCAGGCATCACTAATGGTAGGTGATGTTCTTTCCTCCTGTCACACCCTCAGACATCCAAACAGGGACTTAATCACTCTGCCCTAAGGTGTCAACCAGCTTGTCACCTGTTCCTGGAGAAGAAAGGAGACCCTGCTACTTGTTGGAGATGATTGATGGAATAAAATTGAGTGCTTTAAAGCTCATGAACTAAAGTACCAGGATGTTAAATTGACTTTCATTGTCTTCTCAGAGGCTTAATTAAGTTTCCAGTGTTGAGGGAAATGTGTGATAAGTATCCCCATCTGAAAAAAAAAAAAAGGTGCTAGACACTAAACACATCCGTGGAGAGTTCCTGGGAGCAAAAGTGGTCTTCCCTCCAGCCTGTAAAAGAGGAATACCAGGATTTTGAGGAAATGTGATTGCATGAAGCAATGTCTCAGGAGCATGAAGCATTTTGAATTCCACCAACCACTATTTTCCAGGAAATAAGAAAGGTCCAAGAATGAATATGTACGAAAGTACATCTCCTTGCCCCGAAGACTCTGAAGGTTGGAGTCTGGAACTGCCTGTGGTGGTAGAACCTGGACACAGGGCAGCAGTGGGGGCACCAATCCTCTTACATTTGTAGGGCAGGATGAATGTGCTTCCCATAGCTGAGTGGGCACAGTGGAGGGGAGCCAGACTTCAGCTCCTCTGAAAGGTTCTCTACCTCAGCCTCCCTGCTGCTCCTTTCGTACAAGTGTGGGTTCAAATGTTGCATCCTCAGAGATGCCATCTTTGAGCACATAGGCTCAAACAGTGACCCCTATAGGCCCCCCTTAGTACACCACCTGGTCTATTTTGTTGGCAGTAGTACTTACCATATGAATTTACTTTGTTTTCATTCTTCATTATTTATTGTCTGGTACCTGCCCAAATTTTGGGGAGAGTAGGGGTGTGGAAGTGAGGGCTTGGGAAAGGCATCTCAAAGTGACCACATTTTAAAGTGTAAAAAAGCTTATTGAATGTAAATTCCAGGAGGGCAGAGACCACTTTCATCTTCTGCACCACTCTTCCCAGTGCTCATTACAGAATCTGGCACATAGTAGCTGCTCAATAAAAGTATATGTATAAGTAAATCTCTGCCATTCATGAGCCCTAAGAAGTCAATAGACATCAGATGGTTCTGAAAAAGACAATTTCTCAAGTCCCTGGCATGGCATCAGTATCTGCATCCAAAGGGTTTAGTGGGAGAGCAGAGTAAGAGCCAAAGGCTGGAATAAAATTGGCCCCTGCTGGTTTCTGTTGTTCTGCTGCACTGCCTTGACACCTGGGAAGCAACTCTTCAGTCAGGCGCTTTCTTCACATCCTGATCTCTCCCGATCCAGAAAGTTTCCCCCGGCAACTCATATGGGTTCTCCCTTAGTTTTGATCGATGCACTGGCCATTGAGGGGCTTGCATTTGTGTACATCTAGGCTTCAGGAAAAATGGAGCACCTGCCCGGGTGCTTGGAGACAACCTGCAAATCTGGAAATACATGAGTGTTGTGTATTTACCACTGTTGTCCTGGCTTTCTGCACAGCCTCCTGAGTGATGTGAAATTAAAATCATGAACCTTAAGCAAATATGCGCTACAGTGATAACGACCCCAAGTAAACACATTTATGAAAAGAACACCGGGAAAGCAGGTATTTCATGTGTCATTTGTTCCCTAGGCTTCTTATTAGAATCACAAGTGAAATCTCCACCATGCTGGTCATTCAGTTATATGGGAAATCATAGCCCTTCCATATAGAGAATCACTTTTTTTTTTAAAAAGATTTATTTATTTATACAAGCACTGGGTATAGTCAGAAGCGCAGGAGGGTGAGAGAAATCATCAGAGCCAGAGCGGGGAGCAGAGCAGGCAGAAGGACCGAAGTACACTGCTGAGGGGAGCAGCGGGCGGCAGGAGAGGTCTGCGCGCCATGTGGGACCCTCCTCGGGTGGCCGGGGAGCAGCCGGGTATCGAACCGGTGCTGCAGAGGCTGCGGGCAGCTTTGCAACCCAGCGCTCAACCGCTGCACCACCAGGGAGGCCCGAGAATCGCTTTTTTTTAAAGGTAGAAATAAAAATCTCTTCTTTGAGTAGTACTGCAATTTAAAAACACATCTATTTATACTAAATCAATTGACTACAA